GGAGAAATAAACAACCCTGAAACAATAAAGCAGGGCTTACGGACAACTGCACAGTTAAAGCAGTAAGTACGTCTCGTGACAGCATGAAGCTGGAAAGCACAGTCTGCAGTCAGAAAACCTACTTCAGTTTCCAGATTCCAAGGGAAAAATTAGGAAATAAAAAGCACACTTTTACCTCAAGATCTGAAAGCCCCCCAGACTGTGACTGCTTTAACTACACATTATTACAATGACCTAACTCCATTGCTACTTCGGTGACAGGAAACAGCATTTTTTCCGTCCACTCAGGCAGGGCTACTCGCTCCTCCCTGTCTGTCGCTTACCGGGCATAGGAGTAGTCCAAGCTGGCCTGATCAATGCGGTTCCGCAGGATGCCAATGTCAGCAGATACCATGTCATCCAGAGCTTGTAACTCCTTCTGAATCCTTTTTAGTTTCACTGTTTCAGCTTGAGTTCTTTTGGATCTGCAAGAGGAAGATGCTTTTCTTTTTCTCTTTCCAAGCCTCTCTTCTTGACATAATAGGCCCCATTTCATTTCCAGAGAAACTAACTTCTTTAAGAGCTATTCAGAAGGTTTCTCCTTTATGGTTTAAGACTTTTGATCTTTTTTAATATCCACAGGGATCTAAAATGCCTGCTATTAAAGGACTATGGCAAAATTACGTAATGACTATAATCAAAGTGCCTAAAATGGATTGTGTTTCTTCACTGTGGAAACACACAAGAAGCTGCTGTATCTAAGTAGTTCTCAGTGTAAGGAAACAGGAAATGGCTTGGGGGGGAGTGGGAGGGGGAAGGGTATTTAGCCCTGCAAATATCCCCTTTCAAAGAAGCCTAGTTAGTAGGGGCCAAAAAGTCACCTAACCTAAGCTTGATTTCCATTTTGTAAAATTATTCCCAAAAGGCCTAGCCAAATCCCAATGAAGTCAATGGAAAGTTTTACATCAAACACAAAGGATTTCAATCAAGCCTTATGTAACCTTTTTCAACTCAGCCTATTCATTCCTAAGTTCTGAAAACTAAATGTTGCTAAGGGCAGCAAACTTTGATGGATTTCACTCGCAAGCAAGCTAAGTAACTTTCAAAAAGCTTTTACACCAGGTCATTTTGCTGTCATTCATCACCACCAGCAAAACCATGATTTTCAGCCACTGCTTCACACCCCAAAGCAGGTACTTGAAAGCAAGACTAGATTTGTAGGAAGTGACACTATCTCTCATCAGATCAGCTGATGCAGGTGGAGAGAAACAGACATCTTATAGTATTGCTTAGAGCCTGAAGAAAGCCTTTGGACGTCAGACGTAACTCCCCAGCTATCACCTTCCAAGTCCTCCTCTTTCTCCTCATGCTCTGCCTCCAGGAGGAAGAACCCAGCCTGGTGGTCACACCCATGTCTGCTGTCCTACAGTGAGTCAGACCAAATGTACTTGTGTTTTATCTCCGCCTGGCAAAGGAAAACAAAATCTTCAGAACCTCAAAGAGAATCTTCTGCACAGTACTGGCTACGTTCATCTGTGCTACCCAAGAGCTTTGATGGGCAGAACATAACACATGTCTGCGAGAGCACTGTGAGCCTGAAAGCTTCACATCTCCTTCCTTGATCCAGTGTTATCAGCTGCTCCAATATCCTTCTCTACAAACCTTGCCTTCCCTGTAGTCTTAAACTATCTCAGTGGACAACACTGTACAATACCTTCAAGTCTGGTCACCTGAAGAGCAAGAGCTAACAACTGTGAGAACACGTGAATTTTTATAATTTCTAATCAGCCAGTGGTAAAACGGTACCTTCTTAAACTTCAAGTTGATCGTCTTCTCTTTTCAACACTTTTCACATACTAATAAGAAAGAGTCAAAAGCCCGAACAGAAATAGCTATAGTTTCCCTTCACAGGTTAGGAATCAAATAAACTTTCCTTAAATCCTGTGAAAACAAATCAGGAACAGAACAGGGATGAGCATCCGAGCACCCAACTTCCAAACATGCCCTTACTGACAGGCACAAGGGCTTCAGCTAATTCTCGAATTGTGTAATAACTTTTCCATCTGCGCACAGAGCTGCAGCTTTGGAAGTGTGAAAAGCTTAGTCACAGCTTCTTGGCCAGTACTTGTCATCAAAGGGTAATGTAGATCACAGCTGCTCACTTGTGGAGCAGTACATACAGAGCACAGAGAGGAAAAAATGAGATTTAAATAGAAGATAGGCAACTGGTTGCAGATGAAAAGTAATCCCTTCCTCAGCCTCAGCCCATGCTGCAGCATAGCCCCTTACCTCTCAGCAATAGCTTTGGCCAGGAGTGCCTTCTTGCGTTTATTCTTCTCTTCTATCAGCCGCTGCTCTTGCTGGAGGATTTCCCATCGTGATTTTTCCTGCCTGCTCATTGACAATAAGATCAAAATTAATAGAAAGTTCATTTCTCTCCCTGTTCCCCAAATGACACAAATATTCACCATCATATTTCCTGGAGCAAAGTCTAAAAATGTCAAAGGAACAATAAACAGGTTTCAGTTCTGAGGAAAGAAAAATCATCTGCAAGAAGTCAATCAGACCAATAAAACATTTCCAGATGAAATCTGCTGATCAGAACAAAAATCCTCATACACAAGTAAGCTGCTGGTTAATTCAGCTTTGCTGGAAGAAAGAGCATACTGGGCTTTTTCAGAAATGGGTGGAATTTTTCATTAAAAGGATGTGCTTCCCCACTAGGTAGAAGCAGTTTCAGATTTCCTACTGGCTGCTAGAAGTCGCTATCTGTTCAGTCTGCCAACACAGCCTCTTTTTTGGAAATGTTTTTTCCATAAAACAGATCCTTTCACAGGTCTGCTTTACAATACAGCCCCCAAATAATTAAACTGATACAAATGAAAGGCTGGTAAAAGTTACAATGAAAATGAGCAACAAGGAAAACCAAGAATTCACTTTTGCCACCAGGGAA